AGATATTGTTTGAAATATTTTTATTTTTTGAAAAATTTAATCATCTTTTATTTTTTAATGGAACCAAATATTTTTCTCACAAACAATAGATACACAGATCGTAAAAAGAGGAATGCAATGGTGTAACATATGTTAATATTTTGATAGTATTTTATGCACAAAAATTATACTTTCTGATATGAGACTTTAAATTAAACGTGCAATGTTTGCTGTAGCTGCCGTCGCAACTGTCGCTTTTAGCGAACGTGACCTTCGCAGCCTCTCCCCGTAAAAGCGCCTCCGCCGCGAAGGCCACCTTCCCCAAAGGAGGCAGTTGAAAGGGTTGCTAGAGGAAATCTTGAATATTTAATTTAAAATCACATGACGGAAAGTATAATTTTATGCTCAAAATACTATCAAAATATTAACATATGTTTCATCATTGCATTTGTCAATTTATGATCTAGTATCTATTGCTAATGAGATAAATACTTTGTTCCATTAAAAAAAATAAAGATGATTAAATATCTCGGAAACAAAATATTTCGAACAATATCTCTATGGCACATTACTTGCCCCATGATTCCACATTGATGAGCGAAAACTACAGTTCGATATCGAAAACCGTTTAGAAGGGGTGGTTCATAGTTGGGGGAACTCCTGTATGTATAAACTAGTCCAATTAACTCATGCACTTTCATGAAAACTGCATTGCTACAACTTCAACCGTTCAAAAACTGCAGGAGATGCTAAAGTTACGTGAGACGTACCTTGTTAGATGATATCCAGTGCAGCGCGCGGGCATGGATGCGCGCCACACGCATGTTAATACGCGCATTTCCTAACGTGAGGATCCTCTTTACCCTTAACGACTTTCAGTAACACCAAAAATAACCAATAATACACTCCTATACACTATATTTAAATTGCACTTGAACTTCACACTATATAAACACGGAGGAAAACATTTTAACAAATATGAATATTTACACCCTCTCAAATTCCACAGAATGGGTTATGCATGATATTCTGATGGCTACTCTGATATACTATTCTTATGTTCGCTTCTATTCAAAAATCATTTTGCCGGCCAGGATAGCCGAGTTTGCTGCGGCTGAATGGCCGTAGGTGCCTCGGCTCGAACGGTCGCTGGTTCGAATCCTGTATCTCTACGTGTTATTCCTACAGTTCCCCCTGCAGTTGTAGTTATTAACATCATTAGGTCTATAAACACCAAACAACAGCCGCGGTTGATGTTTGTAAACCGAGGCGATAGCCGACGAAGTCTAACCAACACTAATTTGTTATATCTGCCGTGTGTCGTTCTATACTTTTCGTAATACCACCTTCTACTAAGAAGAAAAGAGTATAAATAAGAAATATCTTTGCTCTTAATACGTAGGAGTGCTAAGCCATCTTCCATCGATACAATTATTGCTTCAGATGCGACAGTTACAAGAAGGTCAAGATTTTATCGTAAGAACATTTTAAAACATTTTTACTGGATGAAAATGGCTACTTAAAAAGTTATTGTAATTTTTGGTATTCTTTGCGCATGTCGACCAAACGAACTTGTGTTATTGACTATTGATGTTATAGAAAGCACGAACAACTGAGTGCTAGTTCCACTCAATTGTACAAAACAAACAAAGAAAGAGCGTTTGTAACACCCAACGACGATCTATTCAATATGTTTCAAATATTGATTGCAAATGCATATGATTTGTTTCAAAAACTAAGCTTTAAAACCCCTGAAAGGCATATTATGCCGAACAGGCAGAAAAAAAATAAATAAAAAAAACTAAGCTAACCTACACCCATCTATCCTAGAAACGAGACGTATTTCCGTAGATTATAGACATTGGAAAGGCACTAAACAACTTGTGGGTATACACACAATAGGAGACACTCAAAAAAATATAGCGGAATATTTAAAATTAGGCTCAACAATTATCCACCACAATGCTAGTTGCAAACGGTGGCGAACAGCTCTCGTTGAAAGAACTTTGAGATTGGGAGTTCTCGACAGTAGTAGAGAAATATATTGAACAATCTGTATCGAAATGAATTAAAATTTCTGAACAGTTATTCACCACCGAGAAGGTTGCAATAACATCAAGAGATTCAAAACGTCGACATCAGCACTTCGATCTCTTATGAAGACTAGAAATTAGCAATAATAATAATTGTTCATTCATATTCATATTTACAACAATGATAAATTATAAGTTAAAAATGAGAATACTGTAATTGAACAGTTGAAAATTACTTTTGTAGGTGTTATTTATGATTGTGTGTGTGAATGTTACCTATGTTGTTTGTCATCTGTTTTGAAAGTTTAACAAATTGGTAGAAGATCCCTTGGCTACTTGGCGGCCATTAAGATTATCTTTTCATTCCTCTGTGGGGTTGCGTTATGCAGATGTATTAACGACAGTATTACAAAGAACAATCACAGTAGTCACTATTAGACCAAGTTGTTAAAAAGCTATCTTAAAAAAAAACATTTTCTGTACATTACAATTTCGCCTCTGGAGTTGCCGTGTCCCGCGTCCTGTTCTGGTGGCCTTCGCAGCACTTCCCCAGCGTGGTCGACTGTCAGCTCCGCGCAGTGGAGGCCAGTCACTCCGCCGTCCGTCAAGTACCTTTCGGATATGTCCGCGCTCCATCCGAAGTTTGCCGGATTCGCTGCACACGCAGTTGCACTCGCCGATCGCTGAGTGTGATCGTGCGGATTTTGCAACCAATAAAACTCCCTCGTCGGATCGCTATACTTGGATTTATTTACATATCGGATCTCCAATAGAAAAGTGACACAAGTGCGAATTTCTGATTCCTTAGAACTTGCAATTTTAAGTTTCGTAGTTCTGTAATACTCGTTATAGATTGTACCAAATATTCACCTCCTAGCGGACAGTAATTGAACTAATTCAAAATCAACTTCAGAATAGTAGCAGTACCTCTTGGTAACCTCTTATCAGCTTTTAGCTGAAAAATGACGATTTCGCACTTGTGTCATTTTTATATTGGAGATGCGATATGCGTTTGAAGTAAATCAACTGGTAACGGTTTTATCCAATAGGGAGCGTCACCAGTGACGTCACTGTAGCGACTACGTATAAATTCCCGATTGGATGAAATCGTCAACAGCTGATTTACTTCAAACTCACCTCTAATTAAATCCAATAATAAAACAAAATTCTTCACGCGATCATGTGGCCGATACCCATAGTTCCTATTGTCCAGCAGCCACTTGTCTGGAATATACTTCTAATTCCTGCTATATTTTATCATTATATAGATGCAACTTTCGCTTATAGTTTCAATTTTAGGTTCTTCACAACCAAACACAGAATTTTTGCCGTTCGGCCGCCCCTACTCTGTTCACACTACCACATGCACTTCGTTGTCTATGGTTATCAAGGAAATATGGGGAAAATAACGTGCACAATAGAATAAATTCCTCACAGTTCACTCGCCACATGTAGTTTTAGGTTATGTAATGCTGCGCGAAAAAACGGCGACTTTTCGGTAAAAAAACATTTTGTTAAAGGGCCCTGGTAAGGAAAAATTGGATAATTCCAGTTGCTAAATTTGGAATAAAAGGGCCTCTAACGCGGGCCTGCCCAGCATTTTACACTTGAACTTACCCCGAGAGCCGCGCGCGAGCAACTTAAGTGCGAACCCGGGCCGCGTGGATGGGTGGGGACGAGACATTCTAGGAGTGGAGGCCGCCAAGGAGAATTCGAAACGTAGCGCGTAAATTCAAAGAGCAATTGCGAAAATTGACGGGCTATTACATGCAGTTCAAGTATCATTCCCTTTTATTTTCGAAATGTTTGTTGTCAATGTGAAATATGAACCTAAAACGAATTAGACACACAGATTTGATTTGGTTACCAGAATTATAATTGCTTGTAGGACTGATAATGTAATTTGCTTGCTATGATCGCAAATTTAGCATGCTGTTATTACAAAATTGTAATATTATACCTTTTTTGTTTGATAATAACAGCAATAAAGTTTTTTACTAACTATATTTAATTAATTAAGATGGTTCTATTAAAGCTAAAAAATCTTATATTTAAAAAGACATGATTACATTCTGCTCCAATTTCCGACAAAAGTACTTTACATATTTCTAATTTTAAATCAACGAAATCAAGTTCATAGACAGTTTTGCCAAATGTTGAGTATTTTTCGCGTAATTTTGCGTTAAATATAGGCAATTTTTAATTTTATTAATTTTTTTTCCAAAAACGGCTCCGAAAATTGTGATTAAATTTTGATCTCGAATAGCGTACAAGACGCTCAAGAGAATGGTACAGTGCTCAGATTCGTTAAAAAGCCTGATTTTCTGAAAATTGAAAAAATTAAAAATTTTCGGCGTCTTCCTATAACTACAATTTGTGAAGATACAATTTTGTCACGTAATGACATGTTTTCATCAAAAACAGATCTTTAAATAAGATGAAGTTACATTTTTCGAAAGTATGAATTTCGTCCGAAACTAAAATGTACACCTGGTAGATTTAACGTAGAGTTTACAAATACATTTCTGTTACTTTAAGAAGTTTATACGTTGATAATGGTATTCATAAATTTACTTCACTCACATTCACATGAAGTTAAAGCAAGCTTGTGTGAAATATTATTCTTTCTTTTCTGTATAATGTGCTGCAAATACTGTACTAGATTAATTCATTTTGTTTTTCATTTGTAAAAGTTCGAAATAACTTCTCTTTCTGGCTGTCGAAATAAATGCACCACAGGTGCTTCGTTACAATTGGATTTTTTGAAGTTATAACGGAGTTTTTAGTACGACAGAAATTGTAATATTTCAATATTCGGTAACTATTTCCAATAAAGCGAGAAAGTGCGTGCTGTTGTAGCGCGTTCGTTTGCTGTGTTGTGCCTGACCGGGAGCGCCTTCCCGTCCGCCCGCAGAAGCAGATGGAGAAGGCCGTGAAGCGGCGCATGCGCGCCCTGTGCCGCGCGGTGTCGGACGCGTACGGGCTGACGCTGACGCCGCGCGACCTGCTGCTGGCGCGCCGCTCCGAGGCGTCGGAGGTGTCCTCGGAGGACTGGTCGGCCGGGGAGGGCTCTGAGGGCTCCATCGTGGCCGTGGAGGGCACGCCCTCGCCCACCACCTCGTCCACGCTCGCGCACGCCCCCACGCGCCTGCCCAGGCACGCACCGCTGTGCCGCCGCGCCGACCTGCAGGCCGCCACCAGGCGCCTGGGCGCGGTGCGCAAGCAGGTAACCTTCACACCACGACTGACTTGCGGCGACACGACTTGCTCATGAAGGAATCCCGTGATTCGTACCACTGCAGCCTAAGACTTTACTTTACTCAGATGGCATTCTATGTTGTTGAGGAATTTCACCTAATGGACTGTTCATTTAATAAGGTATATTAGGTGGGTTGAATTATTTGACCTTTTTTTTTTAAATTTCAGATGGGTGAAAGTTATATAACACTGGCCTGCGAAGATGTTTCTGCACAAACCATTTAATGTTTGTATGTCAAATCGAAAGCCCTAAATCAGAGAATTATTCTAGTTGTAGTGTACTACAGAAGCATAACGCATAATACGTCACGCAAATAATTTTTAATATAGGGTGGGACAGAACTGACTAAGTAGTTTTGCGAAGTTATAAAAAAGAAATCCGTGTATATAGAGAAAAATGTTTTTATTTTCGAAGTTTATATTACATACCTTTTTGTTTTCATTATGTTTTGAAAATATCATCCAGAAGATGGCGGTCATTAGCAACAAAATACTGTTGGAGACGATCTCTGAAGTTTTCAACAGTCCGTTGACACATATCGTGGGGTACGGCAATTCTTGTTCAATAATCTGCTCCCTTAGCTCTGGTAGGGTGTAAGAATGACGTTTAAACTCCTTTTCCAACCAAGAAAAAGTCAAAAGTCAGACGTCTGGTGGCCGCGCAAGTGACTCCACGTTACCCCTCAAAGAGACTAGACGCCCCGGAAACATTTCTCTCAAAGCATGAAGTCCTTTTCGAGCTGTATGTGTAGTAGCACTATCCTGTTGAAACCACAAAACCACAAACTCATAATCATCTTCTTCAACAATCTCTTCAATTCTAGAATGCAGAAAATTAGGCAACATTGTGACACAAATTCCAGAATTCATGGTCACGTCTTCCTCTTCAAGGAAGTATGGGGCTATGACGCCAAATTATCGCAGAGCAAACCACATAGTTACTTTAGCGGATTATAACGGTATTTTGTGGATAATTATTGGGTTATTTGCAGCCCAACAGTTAAAATTTTGTTTATTCACAAACCATTGACGTGAAAATGTGCCCGGCTGAGAAAAGCAGCCTCCGGAAGGATCTGTGCACGCGTCTGTAAAGTGGCCTGCGCGGCCACCAGTTTTGATAATTTCTGACTTCTTTCGTTAGCGGTGTCTGAAGGAAAGGGTGTTTAAACAGTCTCTCACACTCTACCAGAGCTAAGGGAGCGGATTATTGAATAAGTGTGCGCAATATCTCCGTGATATGTGTCAACGAGCTGTTCAAAACTTCAGAGATTTCCTCCAACAGTATTGCTGGCAACGCCCGCCATCTCCCAAATGACATTTCCAAAACAGAAGATGTATATAGAATGGTACTCGAAAAAAAGAACAGTTGCAGTATACCAGAACAGAGATCTAGTATACTGCAACTGCTCTTTTTTTCCGTGTATGAAATACCAACTACGAAATTTAAAAAAATTCTGTATATACTCGGATTTCTTTTCTATAACTCTTCGAAATTGCTTACTCGGTTCTGCCACAACTGTACAATAAATAATAAATAATAAAATAATAATAATAATAAAATAAAAGTTTTACACAAACATTTCTGATAAATGTTGCGTTAGAATAGTTTAAATAGAGAGATACATGTGAGATATTGAACTGTTTGTCCGACTGTACCAAAAACCTGGAAATTACATGGAAGAAACATGGGGGGAAAATTACATTTATTCTCACGAAAGCCATAAAATATTGTTATTTAGGCAATTTTATTTCATTATTTAATTTAGGCAATATGTGTGATAATCCATAATGAACCCTCGTATAGTTTACGCAAACTCGCAAACTTCCCAGCTGCGCCTCACGCGGGTGAGTTACCTGCGCGCCAAGAAGAAGATCGTGCGCCAGGAGCGGTGCCTGAAGGCCAAGCAGGTGTACCACGCCTACCTGGAGACCACGCTGGGCGGCCTGCGCGCGGAGGCGGAGGAGCTGCAGCGCGAGGTGTTCGCCACCAAGCTGGAGAATGACCGGCTGCTGGAGCGCGTGCGGCGCCTGGAGGCGGGCGAAGCCGCCACGGTACTGTGACGTAGTGAAATAAGAAATAAATTTCAATAACAAAAGAAAAATAATATATTAAAGATTATGTACAAGTTACAATGAATTGCTAATATTAAAACACTCCGGCAACCTTTTCCTTTCAGAACACTGCTTTACCGCAGAAAATACAAGCCACGCGTGATGCGCGTTGTCGGACCTCCGTCCCGTGACAATTACCGTCACATGGCCTGACGCCAAAATTTAACCCGGTCGTGGCGACCGTGTGCCTACAGCACGCGAGATCGTCTGGCCCTTACTCTCCGGACATCTCGCCCACACTCCTACACTCCTCGTACATACACGTACAAGCTCCCCGATGCTAACTGAATGAGAACGCGGGCGCAGATGGCGCCGCGTTAAATAGTTGAGGCTGACACCCCCACCACTGTTCCATAGATAGGCTCGCTGGCCAGCAGCTTGGTTTACGCCCCCACACAGGATTCTCAGGTTGGCAACCATAAGCGAGGCTCGCTGGCTAGCATCCTCGGAGTTTACAGCCTACGGTATTTTTGGCTCAGCGGCTCTACCTGAGTCACCCGCCAGAGCGCAAACTCCCGGAAGTTCAGGCTCAACCCCTTCCTCCCCCGCAGCGTACTTTCACCGACCTAACGGTTCTGGCCCTCGTGTTAACGACGCCACAGTACGCTCTCGCCAACGCAACGGCCATTCTTCTGAACGTCTCCGTTCGAAATTAAAACCAACCACCTACCGCGGGGGAGGGGAGAGTTAATTTCAATGTGATATCGTTTATTAAATTTCATTCAGATTCAACTGATAAAAAGAGTCAAAAAATCATCAGGACAAGTAACGAAACTTGGATTATCTGATTCGATAATACAAAAATAATACAGGCATTTTTATTGACAAAAACACGATTTTATTTATTTTGCACCCTTGGTCACCCAGAATATTCAATTTATGGATATCTCCAAATTATAATATGACTAGTAGAACCCGACATATACTGTCCTACCCTCCATTTCTCTTTCTTCCCTATTTCTCTCTCTGTCTCTCTGTATAGATCATTGCATTTGTTAGTAGAAGGACATCAAATGACTCACAATGAAGATTATGGAAAATTCAAAATTTTTCTGTGAAAAAGAGCTTCAAATTTTGCATTTACAGTAACGCTTAAACGACACTTTCTTAAAAACGCCACCAATTTTTTCAACCTAAGTTTGCATATAGGACAAGGTGTTACTCTTCTATAATATTCTTAAAGTCATAATTCAGTTCTTCCATTAGGAAAACGAAAAATTGTGGAAGTTAAAAAAAATTACTTTGGACAGCGGTTGATGGATCTTGCGCCCACGATCATCTCTCTTGAGCCGACTGTATCACTAGGTTCAAACTCAATTAAATCGTGATAACCTACCATTGTAGCAGCAGTAACCGAACTGATAACTGTGCCAGACTCTGGTTGTCTTACATAGTCGTTTCCGACCGGAGCGCCGTATTCTTATTGGTTCTAGATCTCTTTATTTTAACACGCATGGCTGTGCCAGTTTGTTTGGGTTGTTCAGTGTAATAATGCCGCCTGTTGCAAACGGCGAAGGTGAAGCAGGCGTCGGAGGCGAAGGCGACGGAGTCGAAGACGTCCCGCCCGCCCACGCGCCGCCGCGTCGCGTCCTGCGTTCGCCGCTCGCAGCGCGCCACCTCGCTGCCGCCCCCGGCGCTGCAAGTGGCCCCGGCCCCTCCCGCGCCGCCCTCCACCCCGGCGTCGCCGTCGGCGCCACAGCAGCAGCAGCAGCCGCCGTCGACGCCGCTGTCGGGGGCGGCGTCGGTGACGGCGTCGCTGGCGCTGGTGCCGCTGCCTCCGCTGCCGCCGCCGCCCGCCCCCGGCGAGGAGCCGGCGCGCGCCAGCGACGACGAGCGCCGCAAGATGCTGAACGCGCGCCTGCGCGCCGCCACGCAGAACATCGCCGCGCTCAACAAAATGGTGAACAACCTGCGCCAGCAGCTGCAGGCCTCCGAGGAGAGCCTGCAGCGCTGCAAGGAACGGTGAGCACACTGAAACGGCTCCATGACACAATTCCAGTACTATCTGCATTGACGAAGTCCCAAATGGGCTTAATTAACTGACTAGTGATTACGGGCGTGTCAACTGCTGTCGTTAGTCCCGCAAGTGTAGTGCATGTTTTATCGCTGGAGGGGCAGTGATCTTCTCCCGTTGTATGGCGGGATCCGGAGCCGACCTACCACCAGCGGTCCCGCCCCAGCCGGGACAAGCTGTAAGGTCGCGACTGGTCTCCCGACAAGTGTGATAAAGCAGGGCATGTGAGTGCAAGTGTGTGTAAGATAGAGGTGGGGATAGGTCAAGGAAGGGGAAGAAGAGATCTCGTGCAGTCCGTGGCGCATTTGTGAGGGTATTGCTCTGGCATTTGCCTGGAGTAGAGTACTCCGGCATGCGCCTGATTCATTGTACTGTAAGAATAGAGTTTGTTTAATTGGCTAAATTGAAAAGGAAAATTATTAATTTGCTAATGTACGATCATTTACAGATTGAACAGGGTCGAAGCTTGTAATCAAAATAGACTGCAACTGGTAGAATCGTATAAAGTAAAAACGCAAGATTTGGAACAGCGTTTGGAAACAGCACTGTCAAAAAGCACATCACAGTTGCAGACAATCGATGCTTTGAGGAATAATGTAAGTTGCCCAGCACATAATTGATGTTTCAATAGTCTTTTAGTTCCCAGAGGATAATATGTGCAAAATTAACTTCTATTTTTAAAACAATATTTGACTTCTTTCCAGAATAGTAATTTAAAATGCCAATTAGCGAAAGTAACGACCCAACGCGATGACTGTATTCAAGAGGCAATCACCGTTAGAAAAACCTTGGAAGAACAAGTAAGTTCCTCCGAACCTCTTGACATCCATGAACGTTCCTGATAACTATTAGCCTTTGTGCACACGAAAACTGTGTTTAGCTGGGGCGCAAGACGAGTGAGCTGCAAGCACGCGCCATCTCTGAAACAGAGCAGAAGATCCAAGAGGCCAAGCTACACTACGCGCGATGCACGTCGGAGCAGAATAGGAAGTTGAAAGAAGCAGCGGAGAAACTCAATCAGTTCGGGCATTCTATTGAGGTAACAAGATATATAAATAAGTGACATGACGAATGTCTGTTTGCCTATCAAAGAACAAGAAACGAAACAATGAATAGTAATTACATTTTCTTCTAATAATTTGTTAATCATTCTAAAACGCATCAGATGTCACATGCCTTGTAAAGTGACACTTCTTCCACGGCTGCCCTTTGAAATAAATCTTTGTAAACTAATTTCAGTGTTAATTTTGCAATTAGACACTTAAACGTGAGATTTTTTACTCAGAAAATCAGCTATTGCGAAGTCCGGAGTCGCGCACGCATTTTAAAATTGCTTGTCAACTGTTCAGAATTGTTCTAATATTAGTCTCCGTAATAGTTAAAGATAAAATGGTTTGTTTTTTGTTGCCATTTTAGCTCAACAAATAGCAGCTCCAAATTATCGGGCGTGTTCAAATAATCAATGTCAAGTTCACTGTTGCCACTTCTGGCAATATCTGTGCCTTCAATGTTTTATTTTTCTAAAACGTTGGAGCACTGTGTTCGATAATTGTTTTTACTCATTTGCAACTACTATCCCGGCGGTTTAGGCATTAAGTATTTCGAATTGTAATATTAGCTTTGTATGTTCCCTGTGGATACATATTATTGGAGTTCTTCGGCATTTACTCATGTTCGTTGTTAAAAGGTATGTGAATGGAAAATTAAAAATAAGTTACTATTTTTTTAGGAAGAATTTACCGACGATTTTCTTTATGATAGAAGTGTCGAAATTCTTTGAGGGCTACGTTTTCATCCTTGTCGTGCTATTACCCAGAGTTCTGAGTACTCAGCGTATCAATTGGCTTTAGAAGCATTACACAATTCCACGGTGCTGGTCCGAGATCATTAAGGAACTAGTGCCAGTTAAGGATCGCGGGTTCGAGTCCCGCCTCGGGCATGGTTGTATTGTGTTAGTCCTTTCACCCCCTATCATCATCATCATATCGTATTATCCTCATAGTTACCATACAGTTACACGCAATAGTGGTCGCTAATGACCTAGAGGTTTCTTTTGTTATTTAAGGTCGCATGAACTTCTAGGTCATTAGCGACCACTATTACTTGTAACGGTATGGTAACTGTGAGGATGAAACGATATGATGATGATAGGGGGTGAAAGGACGAACACAATACAACCATGCCCGAGGCGGGACTTGAACCTGCGATCCTTCGATCCGAGGTCGCTACGGCACTACTTCCTTAGCGATCTCGGCCACCGGATCGGCGACCTAAGAGTTGATGCGACCTTAAATAACAGCAAAAATCGACGGCATTCATTGGCCGGCCAGGGCGCTATTTTCGGCGGGGAGCGAGAGGGAAGCGTGACGTGTGGCTGGGCGCGTGCGTGTCCCGCAGACCTTCCTGAAGATGGTGCAGCAGCGCGAGCGCGGGATGTACTGCGCGCCCGCGGGGCTGCTGCCGGCGGGGGACGACCGGCCGCAGCGGCAGGAGGCACTGGCCCGCGCCGCCACCATCCTCAACCTCACGCCCACGCAGCTGCACAACTTCATGGCGGACCCCGGGGACACGAACCGGCGCCGCGAGGTGGGGCCTTCCCCGAACTGCTCCTCTCAAAGGCCTCCGCACAACGTGCCAAAGCGACAAACTGTATCGTTTCGAGGCAATTTACCCAACAGATACTCTTGTGCGGCAGTTCGTTGATTCCGAATACACGCTTGTCGAGTCGTAGGAATCTTACCAGCGTCCTTGACATGCCGGTCCTGCGCAAATGTAATGAAAACCTGTGAATTTGTGAAACAGTTCTTGGGGCATATAAAGGGGGGTTCAAAAGAACTGCAACAATAATTAATGTTTGTAATTTGAATGTGTGGGCCAAAAAAATCCCCATGTAACACTTTACATACCTAATCAAGACTGATTCTCTGTAATTGTGTGGGTTGGCATTGTGGATGAAGTTACCGTCGGTCCTCACTTCTTACCGGAGTGTTTCAGAGGCGTCCAGTATCTGAATTTTATAACTCAGGTACTCCCGAAGTATTTGGAGGACGCCCTGTTCAATGAGCGGGCACAAATGTAGTACCAGCATGAAGGCGACCCCGCCCCCCATTTTTAGAGTTCGGGAATACCTAGATATGCAATTACCCGATGGATGGATCTGACGAGAGGGTCCAATTGCACAGCCGCCTCGGTCCTCCTATTTAAAGCGGGAGTTTTTTTGGGGGGGGGTTATGTAGTAGCGTTTATGCTATGGAAGTCGTGGATCGTGATGGCCTTCTCAGAAATTGGCATTGAAAACGCGGCGACAGAAATAACCCGGCAAGAGACAACTCGGCCGAGTTGTGCGCATCGCGGAGGACGTGTGACACAGTTGCCTATAATGCGTTCACGTAAGAGGATGTCATTTTGAACACTTGTAGAGCCCCTGTCACATGAGATGAAAAAGCAAAATGTTAGCTGAATATACAATTAAAAATAATACAGTGTCGCAAATAGCACTTAAAGAATATTCGTTTCTTCTCTCTCCTTTCAAATTCATTAGTAAGTATATAATAATAGCAACAAGGAACAAAATTTATTGTAATATTTGGGCTACCTTTCTGTAAAAACAAATATCAATGCCAAAAGATTTTTTCAAAATTCTGAATAGAGTTCACACTATTTTCTTTTGCACACTACTATGTACTGTATCATAGGGAGCATGTGTTTTTTAAAAAATAATTTATTAATGTGTCGTGTTCTTTCATCAATAATTAAGGTCAATACAATGATCATTACAATCGCAATTAAATTCGACGATCTTCAGCAGTGCGTGTCGTTTGTTGCAGTTCACGCAGTGGATGTCGTACTGCCGGCAGCTCTTCTGCCGCGATGTCTTTTCACAGCTGCTCGCTGAATTTCTGTTCAAAGTTGTGCTGGCAAAATTCGAGCCTGACTTCGTCCAAGGACTCACCGACAAGGACCTTAGCTGACAGGACTGGCGGCGCTCACTGCGCTTCAACAATCATTCCATCAGTCGGCTCGTGAGACGGTATAATTCGTCCCTGTCTGCATGTATTATTTCTTGAATACATGTATTTTTGTATTTTTTTTTAGCAAAATATTAAAATTATACGTATCTTTCATGTAGTTTGATATTAAATATTTCCCCTTCAGTTTTCACGTATACGTTTGATGCATTCATTAAGTTAAATATGTCTACCACAAACTCAGGACACATCTCTCAGATATAATGTACTCAAGACTTTACTGGAGCAACTTTAATGTGGGGATACAGGTGAGACACAATCATTTGTACTCGGATAAGGTACTTCAGGAAAAGCTTTAGTTATTTCACATTGTTGTTGTAAATCGCAATTAATTTCATATATATATATATATATATATATATATATATATATATATATATATATATATATATATATCCTTTCACGGATACTATTTATGTAGTATAGACAAAGTATTGTATTGATGCTGCGGGAAACGGCAATTAGTCGACAAAATTTGGTATTGTGATATACAAAATCGATCGTTATTGCTCCTGTTCATACTAAATAACTTCCTAAAATATGTGTTGGGTGATCAGAATCCACATTTTCTGGTTTCATCATACCGAAAAATTGGTTTACGCCACGAGTATATGTCCGTCTCTGTCCGCACGCCTGTTTGTCAGTGTGTGTGTGTGTGTGTGTGTGTGTGTGTGTGTGTGTGTGTGAAGAGCGCTTGCGTATTAACCATAAGCAGAACATTTATCAAAATTGATACTCCCCAATCAATTGGCTCAGTCCCTTGAATTAGAAACGGATATTTTCATTTAAGGGATGCCCCGACAACAATGTCAAAATTTTCTCAAAAATGGCTTCAAATACTTTCTTTAAATTTTTTGCTCGAGTCTATACTTCAGTCATCACGCAGTTTAATAAAACATTTTGTGATGTAGTTTTCATTCTTTGCTCCTTAATATTATCCTTATAATTGTTTGCCTATGTATAAAAAACTATTAAATAGAGGTAAAACATTACTTTTTCCAAAACATATTACATGAAATTTCCTACACTGTAGTTCCTTACAACGATTTGCTTTACACGCACAGTTTAGGCGTAATTAACAGTTGAATTTTGACGAATTTGTTGGGAACTTACCATTACTTCCACCTATTGAAATGGGTAATTAGAAATCTTCGTATCTATGTTCAATATAATTATCTGCCTGCTAATAATTGTATATCTTAGTTAATGATTTTGTACGCACCATACTCTTTGCGAATACCAAGCAGAAAAAGTCAAGGAAAAAAGAAAGAGCAAGAAAATAGTCTAAGAAGCCGATTGTTCAGTTTAAACGCAGATCTACACTTGGCTGTCGTACTTCATTTCGTGCTGACAGGAGCCATTCTAAAGGTAATTGTGGATGATTTTTCGCAACTTTCGTTTTTAGGGTACTTTTTAGGAATCTGAAGTTTGTCACCAATATTTATATTGGAATTTGTTACACGCCCATAAAACATTAATAAACCTTTAAAACTGTGTGTTAATATTTAAAAAATATCAACTTCATGGAATGATTATTCTATACTAAAATAAATCTAATTACAAACCTAGAAATTATATAAGTTGCAAAATCAGAATATTAATAATAAATTATAAGATATGTTTGTGTTTATTATCACGGTGTACCGTTCTAACGCGCACCACGAATACACGACTACTATTGTATTGAACATGTATTATTTTGAGGCAATAACACAAGCTCAACAATACAAAATATCTTGAGTTGCAATCATTACCCTGCCCCATATCGTTATCTCGACCATTTGCCTTCCTAACTTTTATCTCTCTCAGTCTTATCTACTTCTCTTCAACTTCAAGTTGAATAGAAACACAATCAAATTGACACCAAACAACACCTTATTGAGAATGCACATATTCATTTTGAGTCACATTGCCGAATTGGTTATTGCTTTAATATCGATTGTATAACTAGTTTATTTTCTGAGTGATAAAAACATAAGGTAAGTGATAAAAGCAAATTTCTGATGTGTATAATAATAAAGGTGATTGAAGAGGGCCGGCCAGTACTCTTGGTGTAAAACATCGACCGCATATCGTTGGGTGAAGAACCAAAATCAACTTCCAAAACCACGAGGTGGCAAGAGGAGGATGAAAATTACTGAGGAGCATTGGGTCTTCGCGGATAAATACATGGAAGAAAATTCAAGAATAACACTGAAAGATCTAAAACTAAAAATAGAAGAAAATTACCAAATTATTATTTCAACAGAATGTTCGCGTAAACATTCGGATGGTTTGATGTACACAAAGACATAAGTAGAAAACTCGAAAAAATGAACAGTGTTGAGACCAAAGCAAAGCGTAGTGAGTACGTGCAACTTTTGCATTATCAAACTGATGACATCCCCATTTATACACGGACGAAACATATTTTATTTATTTATTTCAAGGAAGAAAGTATGATAGCTACATAACAGTGGGGAACCGAGAAGCCAATGTCCATGTCATCGTAAGTGCTATGGGACTGATTTATCATCAAATTAAGAGAGACGCTTTTGAAAAGGAGGAAGATAAGAATTTGTGCACCACTGTCTGTGTGCTGTATTAACCATGTATTTACCACTCGTATGCTGTATTAGTAATTGACAATGCTCCCTGTCACTGTGGTGTGAAAGAAATATTCATAAAAGAATAATTCAGCAACCATCACTTACTGAGGCTGAATTCTTTAACTTCAATTATTCGATCAAAAATGCGTGATCTAGCCTCAAGGCTGCTCTTAAATGAGATCGGTGTGCAAAAAGGCCACAAATTTTAGCTGATGAAGACAGGGCAAGTTTATCGCAAACTGAGTTAGAAAATATTATAAATCAAAATATTGAAGTAATAAATGCTAATAATTGTAATATATTGATCATGTCAAAAAAATCATTCCTGACGCTTTAAATTTAGAAGCTAGGGTTATGTAAATTATTGTGTTAAAAAGTTTTATTTTGAGTAATATGTTCGTGTCATAAATTTAGCTGATTTTGTAATGTAACTGAATATTAAAATGTTAATAAACTTGGTTCTGAGTAATGTGTTCACAATTTATTAATTTTATTGTATTTATTTACATTTTTTAAACTCAAAATTTACAATGTACACGGTAACTTTAGGTACATATCAATTTGAAATTGCTTTATCTCAATTTCAAGATCATAGGTTTCATTATGAATGTGCTTAGTCTTAATTTTATTGTGTTCATTTCCAATTTGAAATTGTTTGCTCTCAATTTGATGTTGAAATGCTATAGTAAGCATCTTGCCTGCTGTCATGTATCCCAGTATTCGGAACTATATTTTTAAACAACATTGTTGAATTGGGAAGGCCCTTCTAATACCTTCTTAATCTCATTTCGTAGGAATATTAAGGATTAGCAAATGATAAGTTGCGCAAATATTTCTAATTGCCAAATTAAATCAATAGTTTTTTTATAATGCCACAAAAAGGTTTTTTCGTGCTCTTTTCTTATAACTTAAATTCTAACGAATATATTTTTAGTATACTTTAGATTCGTATTCAGCTCTCCAAAAAACATTTGAAAGCAAAAAATCAAAACTACATCACAACATGTTTTAGGGCAGTCTTTTTGAGCACCTAATATCTAGACTAATAGGGAAATATTTATGCATATGCATTAGGATTTTCTTGGTTATCGTTCAAAATTGCGAATGTTCGAAATTTGTTGAACTCCTTGGTACTACTATTGTTGGGGCAGCCTAACGGGACGCACTAAATGCCCAAAATAATGGCATTGACAGCTAACAGTACAGCCAACTTCGGAACCAAAGAATTTTAACCCGACCCACGATATTCAAAGGAACAGATGTTCGAAATTGTACTTCGGAAATTACTTTTTTCACTTTCTTTATTCTGTTAGGTTTGGAGCTCAGGGAATAACATTATCTTAAGTGATCAGTGCGCAACAAATTATGTGTATTAACACACAACGTACAATTATTATTGTTTATTAGTAAAAAAATAAAATTCTGAAAACCCCTGATGTATTATGAATAGTTGAAAGACTTATTAAGGTAATTCATAATACAGTGAAACCAGGTTTGGTGTTTTTTTCGATTTTACATTTATTAGTACAATGTTTCGTGAAACTCTTTTCCCTTTTCAGAAACTATCAAAGATTACAAGATTTGTTTTTAAAAAATGGCCATACAAAACTACAAACATAAGATTTTTTTAAACAATTTAATATTTACATTCAATCAAACTAGGATTATGTGAAGCATGAATACAAGACATAGATTCAAAAAAATTTAATTTATCAAAAATCGAAATTTTAGTGAGTCAACTGTAACTTACTTGTAAAAGTCAACTATATCAAACCTGATTTCACTATAATATAAATTACTCCCACAGGTCTTCCGAATATTCATAATAACAATCACTTTAATATACAAATATTTTAATACAAAAGTAGTTATTTATGTTACATATTAATATGGGTAAAATAATTAAGTATGAAATTGAATCATTAGCATAAGAAAAGCTTAAAAACATTTAAACAATTAAATTTCTTTCAAGAAATGAATAAGAAAGCCAATTCCCTACTTTTTTCAATTCATTCAAAAAAATATATGCATTATAGACATAATAGTAATGAGAATCATTACATAAATTGCATAAGAAGTGATCTATTAAATAAACTGAACCAGGAAGAATTGAAGGAGATGATGGTCGAGATAATGAAGATATCATAATGATAATAACGACCAGTGTCCATTAAAATTACCAAATAACTATTAATTAAATGGAAACTGAAAATAGGAAATTCAAATTCCGAACTCTTTAATAACTAAATAAAGATTAACGCGAATCTCGCAAGGTAATCCCAATAATCATTAACTACTTTCTACAACAAATAATCAATAACAATTATGTAAATAACTTTGAAAATAACCAATAATATCAATTATTTAAATAACTAAAGGCTGATGCACAAAATATTACGGAACAAATCCAAGCGGAAAAATTCAAAGTGATAATGACCACAATAACTGCGTTTCAG